TAGAAGTCCTTCTTTGTTCGGATTTCCTTGTCTCCGGATTTAATGGCGTCAACGACAAAGCCTTCTCCGCTTCCAATTTCATTGATGGTTCGTCTAAATATCATGGTCCAAGGATGGCCCGACTTTACAACCCTGGTGACGATTTAGCTACACCAATAGAAGTTGGGGGCTGGGTTTGTGGGGTCCGCGATACTCAGCAATATATTCAGGTGAGTTGTACCTAACGCAAATAAAGGAGGCAATTACTTTGATTCTATCAAAGAGTTTATTTACAATGAATGCTTCAAAGTAATATCAACGGTAAAATAGCATGTAACACTTGATCCTTGGATACGAATAACTTTGTTGTAATATTGGGCTAGGGAGTTATTCCAACAGTTGGGACAATTTTCGGAGAAATGTTATTATTTACCTCGAAACTCAGAAAAAGACAGCACTCTGACATAGCATTAACACTCTTTGTATTTCTGTGTCTCGATAAAGGAGAAGATTGACTTAATTAATTGTTAACCTTACATCGTCTACGCAGTTGAAAATAACTATATATATAAATAGATAGAAAAAATAAGATTAACGACCGACTAAAAAACTAGCTGCCCTGTGAAGCGTGAAAGCAGCTAGTTTTTTAGTCGGTCGTTAATCTTATTTTTCTATATTTACTTCCTGCACATGGACATTTAATCTCTTTTTATTATATATATACATTTATATATATATTATCGATTCTACTACTTTTGATATGTAACGTAAATTTGCATTGGTCAACAGACATGGATTATTGGACTTTAAACCATGCGCGTGCTAGTACTGCTTCCAACAGATCAGCACTCACCTATAAACCTCCCCCGCAAAGGTACCGGTAAACAGGCGAGTCGCAGAACTGGTTTCATTCGTCGTATGAGGGTACCGGCATTTAATATTGAATTTAGCGAACAAACAAAATAATCTCTAGATTTACTTAAAACCAGTCAAGCTAACGGTCAAAATGTTCCGCTGAACTTACCGCTAAGGTAAATTGAAATACTGTTTGTAAAAATGTAGCGCGTGCAAAAGAACAGTCTTATTTAAGTATTACGGTTATTAAGGTCATCGCGCTTATGCTTGGCGTATGAACTCCAATGTGAACAGGAAAAGGACTGTCATTACATTTTTCTTGGTAGCAAATGATAACAAAATCATCAAATTAGGCCGCAAGTGACTTTTGTTATTTCTTTTGTTTCAAACAAATTATCAACCGTGTTATATATTCCACGATAATACAAACATACATGCATTGATTATTTCATTTCTTTTATACACCAGACAGATCGCTAGGTCTTTCCTGCCTCCTTATCTTCTTAACGCGGACAGCTCGCACTTATTTCCAAGTTAATAATACAACATACAAGGTTTACTGGTAAAATCGCTTCATGAAAAGGTCATTGGAGTTGTAATTGACCATTTATTAAACTTTGACGACCACATCAGCGAAGGGGTTAAAAAAGCAAACTCGATGCTTGCCATTATTGGGATATCATTCCAATTTTTAGACTACGCAACATTCGTACCAGTCTTCAAATGTCTTATGAGGACACAATTGGAATAAGCAGGAGCAGTATGGTCACCGCACAAATTAAAATATGTAGACAAAGGGGAAAGTGTACAACCTAGAATACCCAGAAAGATTAAGAAAATTGATCCTACCAATACTAGCATATAGGAGACTGCGAGGAGACATGATCGAAGTGTACAAGATTGTAAACAGAATTTACGATAGAGAGGCATGTACCTTTCTTAAGTTTTGAAGTGGGGAATCAGGCAGAAATAGTACAAGAGGTAACTCGAAAATATATAAATCAACAACATCCCCAGGAGAAACTATTTCACATTTCGTACTGTCAAAACATAGAACAACCTTCCGGAGGACATTGTATCGGCTCCTGTATTGGAAACTAACTTTAGCTTTAATTTGATGTCTTATGGGTGTGATAACGTAATGCACCACAAATAGTGCGCGCACATCGGGCATACATCGTGCGCACACCTTTCGCACACTATCCGCGCAACCATGCGAGTTAACAACCGTTCGCCCGTCATGCGCTTCTTTCCTCACAAATGTGCGATTAAGTACAATTGGTAAATCAATATCACGGAATGAAAAAGAAGGGTCGTATGCGATAAAGAACACTTAATTTATTTGGTTTCTGATCACTTTAATCTACATTATGTCCAATTTAACAAGGAGTGTACTGTCAGAAAGCAGGTCTTGCTACCAGGTAACAAAACAGGTAAATACCATTTTGATAAGTGACAGGATGTTTGTTTGGCCTGTGCCTGACACAGAAAGCTAACCCGTAATACCGTATGAACATTACAAAACTTTACTGCACGTTTAGCATTTGTTAATTGCATTCGTGTCGGTCTTTAATTTTACTTCACCTGGATTTTCCCACGTCGAAGAACTACGTCACTGCATCGGGTGAGGAAATACACTAAATAACTAAGTCTACTTGTACATGGGTCCGTGTCTTAATGTGTTGCAATTTTCCATGTCGATGTGGGTCGTTCAAAAAAACCAAAACCATCATTTAAAAATTAAAAATTAAATGTAGATCGACAGATACGGTTACAGTTTAGCAACAAACTAAAAGATCAAGCATATGAGTTCAAAAACGCTATCGTATATTTTGTTAAACCATTCCCACACAAACCATCGCGTGCACAGATGTGAACAAGCTATAATCATCGATATGTGTATCGTTCGTACATGGATCGCAAATCGTTCACACACCGCGCGCACGTCAAGCGCACACCGCGCATCGTGTATTGTTGTGCGATCCCAAAACTGTTATTAATTTTGATCATGCACAAATTCGTAAGTGCTATTCTATTTGCTATAAACAAACGTCTATCTACTGCCGATCTTAACAGGTTTTTGCCAAATTGTTTTTAAAGGTGTACCCTTTTGATCGTATTCATTTTGATGGAGACATACAAGTTAGAATCAATTTAGGTGTAAAGTTGTGTGAATGCACAACGCACAAAAAAAACCCAGCGTGCTCACATAGTGCAACCACCATCCGTCCGCCAACAGTGCACACAATCGTGTGTTTACATGTAATTATCTGCTTATATGAGATATTCGATACCATTGGTTAATACATTTTTTCGGAATGAAAAAAATCCGGAAGATTTGAGAAAAGGCACATTCAGACGTGTTTTCTTATTAGTGTATTTCGCATAACGTCTAATTTTACAATGTGTAATACAAATTTACAGTATTAAAATACAAAACTGCCAAGATTGGTGCCTAACTCTTAGGAAACAACAGGTAAATAACATTTAGATGTTTGACCAGTGCTTGACCTGAGCCCGGCTCAGAGAGTGGATCGGTAATACTAAATGACTGTTAGAAAACACGACTGGACCTTACCTGCTGTTAAGTGTACAAGGCAGTATTGATTTAACTGTGTAATTGTATAGGACAGTGCTGATAGAAGTATGTACACGTGTCTATTTAACACTAGTTTTGAACAACACTGTAAAACATATTTATATCGATCAAGTTAAAGATCAAGGTTGAATATGGTTACAAACCTTAAAATCAAGATGTTATGTTTTTGAAACGATATCGTATTTATTGTGAAAGCCATTCCTCTATTTATGTCAACCAGGATTACAATCGCGTCAATTGTGCGCTCGCTTTTCACACAGTATTTCATCGTTTGCACATCATTCACACACTATGTGCATACCACACATCGTGTAACGTTGAGCGATCCCACAAATCTAGAAGAATCATCATTTTACGCAACTGATAACGTCACTGTACCCAAATCGAGACACTATTTAGATAAATATCAATGTTATTTATACCATACTATCAGTTTCAAAAATGTTTGTTCATTTTTCATCAAAAAAATACTATCCACTTTTCATTTCTTTTACAAATTGATATTTTGGGCGCGTGATTTTATAAATAAAATCCGAAATACTATCACGGTTGCGTAGGCCCTTGAACCGGCGTAACTGTACCCTGAGTAGAAATTTAATCAGAACCCCGTTTGACTCTTCAATATTTGAAATGTATCTACTTTTCTGTTGATATTGATCGCTTATTCACAATTTTTTCCCAAATTACCCTGAAAGGGACAGTTCGGTAATTTGGGAAAAAATTGTGAATAAGCGATCAATATCAACAGAAAAGTAGATACATTTCAAATATTGAAGAGTCAAACGGGGTTCTGATTAAATTTCTACTCCAAACTAGTATAAGTTTTAATAAAATAGATTTTTGAAAAGATATCCAAATAAAAAGCGTCGCACGGCACGTAAATCGGGAAGGTTTTGTTTTGGTCATTATTCTTATTTTTATATTGCCCATGTAACGATAATCAGCAGCCAATAAGCTTATATATTATTAAATTGTCATAAAAGTATTATCAAATGAAAACAATATACATAAAAGTGCTTCTTTGCTTTGAATGACAGTTTCTTGTGCCGTTTACCATAAATGTCCCGTTTTGGGTACTGTCCCGATTAGGGTACAGTGACGGTACACGTCATAAAATCAAAACAAACATGTTTATCAACCATTCAGCTTTTTACATACATTATGATATTCAGGTGACGTTTCCAATGAATACAACCATTGCAACCGTAACGGTACAAGGGCGATACAAGACATATAGCCAGTGGGTCAAATCCTACTACCTACAACACAGTGTTGACGGGGTCACGTGGACAATGGTGACGTCACAAGATGGATCCCCACGTGTAAGTCACATAGCCGTGTATCATTCATAGACTTCTTCATAATTTTGTATTATTACATGTAACTGCTTTAAACCTCACTTTTTAATTTATCCTGAAAAAACCTTACCTAACCTTTTCGCTCGATTTGGTGTTATTTTAAACCGGTTTTACGACTATACCTCTGCTTTAGAATGCGGTAGACGTTGAATAATAGCTAGTAACGACACATCTTGAATAGTTTGATACCGCCATTACAGTTATTCCCTGGAAGCGTTGACAACAACACCCCAGTGACGTCAGTAGTTACGCCTAACGTCACCGCTCGCCACCTGCGCATTAACCCTCAATCCTGGGAATCGTACATCGCCCTCCGTTTCGATGTCAGTGGATGTCAAGTTAGAAAAGGAAGCGGTCAGTGACAATTATTTATAGAAATGTTTATACCGTTTGGTTTGATATACATGTATATATTCAATATATATGAAACGTTTGTTATATTATATTGTTTTAAATATAATGGTAAATTTTATTTAAAACTTTTATGGTGTATCAATATTTTTTGCTGCTGTCTTTGAAAGCTACTGCTCAGTAATAGTATCAACAATATTAATACTAGATTCATCTGTGTTAGAAAACATAAACATATTATTATCCGACTCACCTTACTTGATTCAGAACTATGCGATGAACAGAAAGCAACAGGTTGTCGTAGGCGAGGTATCTGTTGGTAGAACGATTATGTGTGTTGCATTCTCGGAGGGTCTTAATTGAGATCAACAGAATACGTTCTGTATTAAAAAGTAGTTGAGGACAACTGTTACAGACGTTATTATGCTGTTATTGCATTATTATCTATATATTGTATTATACACAACGGTAGCATGATACATTAGTTAAAAACAAACGTCTGCTTGCGCATTTTTATGAAAGGAGAAATATTCAATGTAGCAGTATTTAGATGATGAATATTTGACCAAATCGCTCTTTTGATCATCCGACATTCCATTAAAATGATGTCAATTCAATCTGAAGAAAATCAAAATCTTACTTACAAATATTTTTATGAAGAAAATATTTCAGGAGCATTGTTTTCAATAGTTGTAACTGCTTATGTATGTATCTGTTGGAAAGACGGACACCCCAGTAAATTCGCAAGGAAGTCTGTAAACCTAACCCAGAAAATGGTTGACTCGCACACGGTCATACACGCAATGGCAGCAGTACCATCCTGGAAGGATTGCGCATTGACCTGTCACCACCACCGTACCTGTGTGGCATTCAGCTACCTGTCTACGAATGGAATACAGTGGTGTACAGGCTACAGCGCATGGATCGTCGCACCGGGGCAGTTCACCTCTAACGTTCAGGTATTCGTCAACCAAGGTAAGATTAGTTTTCAAACGAAATACATTTTGATAAGTTAAACTACATGTATCATTTGGTAATAATGATGTTGCTTATAGCTAAACTGATAGCTCTGAAATTATGTAAAGTGTTCAACGTGATATGAATAACCTAACACTCAGGACTTCAGTTAAATTTTTAAGGAAGCTCTACAATACTTTATTTAGAATAGTTTGTTTTACATTTGTTAGCGGCGAACATTCGTTTAACCAATCGCTTAACGGTGATACGGCCATTATAAAATGTGTATATATAACGCTTGTCAATGCTTGTAATCTAATCGTAAAATCCATAACACAATAGCAGACACACATTTATGTATCACATAATAAAATAAACTCCTTAAACTCCTTAAACACAACACATAACAGTTAGGATTAATGAAAAAGTGCTATTGAGTTATAAGTGCTATCAATGTAGCCACTGTTACGAGGTTATACTTGCATTAATTACAGCCTTGCATGTGATACAGGAGAAAAAATAATTAATATTAGTTTGACATATACTTTTTTAAACGAATGAAGATATCCTAGACACGTACGGGTTCAAATATGACAAGGGAGCTTCCATCCTTTACACAATCATCGATATCAGGAAGGACCAAGCTGGTGCATCAACTACCTGTACAACACGGTACACCCAACTTATGAGGGTGGACTCAGTATCTCAACTGACAAGTCTGCAGAATGTCGTAAACGGAAGCTATGTTCTGAGTAAGTCTATCCATCACGTGTGCTGATACTGCTAGATCAACTTGATTATGTCTTTGATCAAAGACGTCAGCTGATGATATAAATGCTATTTTTTGCGAAGGTTATTAAAAAAGGCAGATTTCTTTCTGGTATTGACAAAATCTTAAATTTTATACGAATTAGGGTTTGAAATAATTGGATACTAGCATATTTTTTTTACAAGAAGAAAGTGTTGGTCATTAGTGATCGACAAAAGTGAACAAACCACTACTACTGGACAGATCATAAGAGACCAGTACTTTTTATGGCGGAGGGATATCTGGTTTTCCTGAAACATATATATCCAATGCTTGTCATTGTTAAACTATTATAATATCTTGATTTATTAAACATTACATGATAATGCCGCTATAGACCTTACTAATGGTAATTGGCATTTCCAGTTGAAGTTAAGGCAACATTATTCTCGTTGGCATTTTCATTTTGTATTTTTCGCCAAAAATGTCTTTGGGTAAATACCATATGATCTACCCTGTTATCTATCATCATTTTTCAGGGCACGATTACAGATTCTACGTATCAGGAGAGTATGTTTCCGACACGTGGACATACAGTGGCGAATCGGATGAGATACACAGTGCCCTCTGGTCCACTGGCAACCCTGATCCAGAGAAAGGTCAATGTGTCATGCTTACACAAGAGGGTTTGACCAGTATTAACTGTGACGAAAGCCTCTATTCAATTTGTGGCAATTAAGATAGATAGGAAAGACACAGTCAAATACAATTTATGTTTCAATAATAAATACAAATGATAAGAGATAAGATACACTGTGGAACAAGGGCATGTTATATACAGTAGCACGTTTAAAACAAAAGGATGGAACATTCTTTCTGAAGCAGTTTCAGAATTAAATTAAAATAGAAAAATCACTATTTTTCATTGAAAGATGAATGTTTTTTAACTGATTTGAGTAAACATAAGGATTCCTCATGTGTTTTACTTTCTGCACTTCGGAGATGGCCTAAGGCTGGAATAGGGATGTTTGCTGAATTTTATTAACAAGGTATATTCTATGATAAATCCATCAGTGCCGGCAATATGAGGTTGTCACATTTTCGTAGCAATCCGCTCCTTATACAGACACGGATTATGTGATATTGCTAGATTTATCTCAACCCACAAAGATACATTTCCGCACGGCATTGCCTCTATCCACCCGGCACTTTCCATATCCGCTAGGCACTTGCCATATCTATCCGACACGCGCCATATCCGATTTGCCTACAGTTCAACATATTTCAGAAAGTCAAGCCTGGCTTCTACTCGATTTGTGTTATTTACTGTTAATTTGGATAATGCAATGAAATCATGGACAGAAAAAGCATACTGGAATCACTGGAAACACGTTTATTGAGGTAAGATAAAAGACTACAAAAAATAAACAGTAATCAACAGTTATGCTCATCGAAAGTATGCAAAGCAGTACGAAGCGGACGACGCAGTGTTCGTTTTCTGCACTTGGAGCTGACATTGACAGCAAGAGTATGTGTACCCCTAATTACAATGTTTATAATGTAACGTATTGTCCGTTTTCTTCAACGATTGTTCATAAATACTACAGCAGAATAAAGTGAATATGAGACCACTTTTAAAATATTTATATCGCTTATATCAACACGGTGTTTTTGCGTAACATAAGCCCATTTAAGAAGAAAATATTTGATATTGATATCTACTTAGTATGCATCTTTGATATACAAACATCATATGTTGACTCATAGATACCACTCTGTTATCAAATGATAGTATACCATTAAAAATATACAACTATATTTATGTTATATTTAAAAATACTCTATAGCAATATTTTAATTTTCCTGCTTCATTTATTCAACAGCTAATGTGATTCTTCGTTAATATTTGGGTATTTAAAAAAAAACACTGTTGGCAACAAGATTTTAATTGTTTTTGTACAATATGTATATATCGATGTTCTAATGTAAGCATTTGAAATATCAGTTATGGCTAGGTAACTACGTGTGGTGTTTATCTACATACGAGTCTAGTCACGGTGTTTGTTTTGTATATGTACATGCATATCCTTGTGATCATCTTACTAACATCAATAATCTGTCCTAGGCAAATAATGTAAATGTACGAGTAATATCCCTTGCAACATTGTCTTCTCCATTACTTAGTATTAAGGACTTCCTTCTTCCCTCCCTTCCATAATGCACTTGTTTTTCTTGTCGTATTTTCGTGTCGTCATTTCCATATTGCGTAGCGTAGTGTAAATAATAGTTACGCTAGTACACGTGTGTGACGATGTTATGTCGACACCAAATATCGAGACTTCACTTGGAAATGTGTGATCACATGTACTTCAGAAAAAAAGCTTCTGATAAAAAGACATAATGATCGGGAAGACACTGACATGTGAGCAGACGACTTCATGAAGGTCATATGTGAAGCACACGGAATGCGATCTGGGGAGTTTTGTGTACCGGCCTCACCTGTACATAGCACGTGCTTCACCAGTCAACAACATAAAGGTCGTTTCGACTTTTGCTGTCGAGCGAGTTACGCTCTGTCGAGTAAATCATTTTTTACAAATGCAGTGCACATACTCTGTCAATAACTGGCATTGCGTAAATGTAAGCCCTCTGCAAAACGTTCCGATTATTTTTCAAGGAATCGGACTCTCATCAGGATCAAAATGATTGTTAAATGCAAAATATTTTGTTCAATTTTTCAATCTTTTTAAATGAAACTATGAGTCATGTTTGCTTTTAGCTTGTAGACTATCAGTTTCATCCATACAATTTCAATAAAACGCACTTTGTGTAACGTATTTTATACATTTTGTGATAAATCAAATATTTGTAGGGTCAATCGGTTTTCTTCTTCTTTTTATATTGTTGTTATTGTTTCCGAACAATGCCACATCCCAAAATAAGGAAAATATCAAAATTGACGAAAACTCATTTCTTGCTTTTATTCCCAAAAAATCTTCAGTCAATGGGAATGTTTAGATTTTCATGAAAACACCTTTACAAAGTTGCATAACTATTAAGTGAAAGTTTCAACGAATTCTGTTGGTTAATTACAAAAGGTGGAGCATCCTGATTTTTTTTTTTTCTTTTTTATCGAATTTACTTATTTTGGTCACAGAGAACAATTGCTGTTGTAAAAATATCCTCTGCTTATTCAGTAAAAACATTTGTTTCAATGTGCCAAGTTGTGCTAATGTAGTGTTTATATTGATGACGGCAGCGGTCTTAAATTGAAGTTAAAATATGTATATGCTTAAATTCTAAATTGTCTGGGAAACTAATTTATCCATAAACAACAAAATCTTAGCTAAAACAAATTACATAATTTAACAAAAGAACAAAATAATCTATAAATTCTGTTTTGATAAATGTCTGATTCTTCAATCAATTTTTTTAATTTTGTTGTTTCTTTTTTCTATATATCTATATATCTAACTCAAAGCATTATTTTTTTCATGTATATTGGTTATATGCAATAATATGGTACTCCATAACATTGCTGCATACTAAATTTCTTTTTCAGGAAGAGCTTTATATATAAGTATTCAAATCCAAATGCTGTGTTGATTTCCTTCCAAAGTTTTTTTCATGGCCTGCATTTTTAATGTTGTTTTCCTTTTTTATTTTAATATGACAAAGTTCAAGGTTTGGTTTTTACATCATTGAATATGCTTTGCCGTAAACCTGTTTAACTCTAGCTGTTTTTGTGTTAACTTACAACGTGAACTAGACAATAAAACATATCCATGTCCGGAACATTTTATCTTTTTTTTTTTGCCGCTTTCGTTTGTCTTCGTTCGTCGTGCGTCATCCGTCAGGCGTTAACAATTCATATTTTTAACATCTTTTTTGAACCCCTTGACTGATTTATTTTAAAGTTGGTGCATATGTTCCTTATAATATCCCAATCTCTAAAACCTGGAGATGGCCGTTCTGACCTCTGCTTTGTTGAGACATTCTCGACTTTTCCAAAGGAACTGATTACCCGACTGACTCCAAACTTCGTACACTTTTTACCATTTGAATATCCAAGATGGCGACTTAACGTCTAATAGCCGAAATATATTGGACTTCTTCTCCGGACGATGTTACTTATTGACTTCGTCTTTTGGTGCAAATATTTAATGTTTATAGAAGTCATCAACAAGTGTTTTGTGCTAACCGAAATTCCCAGATGGCCTCCTTCGCCTTTCATTGCTTAAGACATTTTCAATTTGAACTTATTTGAGCGTTTTGGCCCCTTACAACTCATGCTATTCATTATTATAGACATTTTGAAAAAAAAATAGGAAAAAAAAAATGAAAAAAAACTGCAAATGACAAAGCTCTGTTGTAGTAATATGTTATGATTTCATCTTTAAATACCTGTTACAAAATGTATTGTTTCGATATCAGATGATGACACGTTTTCTGAATATTTCCTCCGCTTTCAGAGCAAAACAAGTTCCTTTGATGATGACTATTGAGCCACGCAATCAATGTTGATTTAAATATAACCGATTTTTATAATAAAGATAGCAATAATTCGGAGAGAAACCCGCTATACTAAGTTGCCGAAAATGAATTGTACTGCAAAATAGAATTGCTTCTTCCTTTTAAGACTCATCGGTGATGCTAGGGACAAAAACAAGTCGAATTGCAAATTGGTCTAATCGTATTTTTATCAGTTTCTACAGATGTTTGCAATTAGAAGTCGACACAAGTACATGTACCATATTATAATAATAAATAACGAAAAACAACAATTATTCTTTTTTTTGCGAATGCGCAGAGGTATGTGCAGAAAGGTACTACTTTCTATCTAACCCTTCGAATGTACGAACATGAAAACCACAGAAGACCAACTATTAACGGTTGAAGTTGTTTGATCTTAATCTGATAGCTCTAGCGGATAGCTAGCCATATAAAGCAAAATACATAACGGACTATATCGGGAAAACTCATAGTGCCAACGTTCCAGACACTCTTTTGTAACTATTGACATCGTCTCATCGTGATATCACCATTTCTCACTCTGTTGGATTAGTGACGTGTCGTCCGGTTGGAACAATGGAACAAGCGAGCTTCTTGGTTGCGATTTATCATTAATTCTGTTTAACTTTTGGAAGTTATCCTGACGTTCAACAACTTTCATTTTGTGGCGACTACTACCTGCAGATAGATGGCCCAGCAATGGTACTTAATTGGTACTTTCGTGCAAATACATTCATGGATTATCTTGAGTCACAAATTATAAAGTATGTTCCCTACACACTGGTTAATTTGTAGCGTTTCTTGACGTAGAATTTTCGAAGAGACTAATACGCTTCTACATGGCAATATCACAACAAACCCTCATTCAAAACCAACAGTCACGCACTAATACCCTTTTCCATCCTGTTGCCACCCACCCCTCATCACTGGAAGTATTTAATTCTCTCGGGCGCTTTGTATTAGACGGATTGTATATGACGACATCACGTTTTATGAAGGATGTGTGAAGACAAATACGCAGCTATTGCTCAGGGGATATGACGCAGTCTTAGTCTTTAGAGTATTAGAAAGGGCTTCGTTGCTGCAATAGAGAGTTCGAATAGGAAACGGCAGGATTCAATGTGTTATTTCCATCCCACATGCTATCATTTGTGCGCATCATACAACAGCACTGAATTATCGTCCAGTCATTTGACAAATTGAAAAAAATAATTGTTTTCAAGCCTACTTTTACTGACTTACATAAATATCAAAACGTAGAGACGCTTTGGTCCAGGGCAAACTCCCCACAACCACAAAAAGTGTATGGTAAACAACAAATGCAAAATGTGTCGTTACACGGAAGGTACAAAGTCTTTCAAATGTTAAATAACACAGACATAATACCGCGATATAAGGCCAGTATCATGGAACATATCTCATATCATATTCCTTATTATTTATGTTAAATGTCAAATGCAGTATGCTTGGGAAACACGGAATGTCCTCAACTTTAATAACAATCTTAGTTTAATCAGCAACAAAACATCTTCCTGTGGCAAGACATTTTACATTTTATTCATGGAAGGATATGCAAGTGGTGGCAATCGACCATGTGACTCCTTGGGCCAAACAGAAATGACAGACCAAAGATAACTACTGGATAAATCAACTCCATGGCACCTTCCCTCCTGGCATGAATACACAGTGTGATTTTACATTTCAGAACTACTCTTGCTAGTTGCCATCGCTGTCAACACCACATAGTATTATCAGTATATGTAAAGTACTCATAAGGTGCTATTTTACACATTTCAGTCAATGCAATTTAACCTAAAATACTCGTCTATGGTTGTTTTTGTATATTTCATTTCCAAATAAGTTATTATTTTGCCCTCTTTTGGTTCTAAAATGCTCTAGTAATAATGTCACTTTTTACAAGTGGAATATCAGGAATTGTCCATTGGGGAAAAAACTTATGTCTTAAATGCATTGAAAGCCAAATAAACTGCGAAATGTAACCAACCTTTTGCTGTTTGGAAACATACGGATGGTACTAACATGAAAGGGAATGTTTATGATACAAAAATCGAATCATCAGGCAAATGTTACAGCCTAGTAATAAAATGAATTTCGCATAAAAAATAACAATGCAGCTTTATTTTAATACATTTGTAAAACATGTATAGCTATCATTTTTGCGTATGTTAGCGTTAAGTGTATGAGATTGATTTGCACATGGATATGTTTCTAAATTTGTTCTAAAATTGAGGTAACTAATACAAAATTTGAATCAATTATTCAAATGATTAATGCATTTGACTTTGTAATTAGGAAAGTCAGAGATTATAAAGATAAACTTTGATGAAATCATAAAATAAGTTGCACGAAGCGCCCGTTTAATAGACAATAAGAGCGTGTCACTATTTATATATTGTTGGCTTTAAAATTAACCATGTAGAAATCATTATAATGCTGATAGCAGTTTGAATAGCTTGACATAAGGGATTTAAAAGTCATTCCGCTCGGTTATTAGTTTGTTGGAAGATATCTATCCATTTTAACAATATTAGTGTTGTTGTGAAGCTGGAGCTCACGGTATCATTATTTGATATTACTGTCATGTTAACGTATGTATAATCATGCAGCCTACACGACACAAAGTTATTATGAATTAATGCGATTACGCGGCGTATTTAATTTTAGTGCAAATTTTATTGGAATATTTCACACTGAATTAAATTGAAATTAATAACCACACAACATCTAAAACACTATAGTGATCATTCATTTCTATTTATATAGCCGCCATCCTTGAAAAAGTATTATTAATCATTATCATTAATAAACAAACAAATCATGAAAAAAAACACGTTTTTTTCCCAATCTCTTAATAGGTATCCAGATATTCATGCAGTAACCAAAGTATGTTTATGTCTCTTACATGATAAGGTAACACTTCAACCCAAAGTGCTATGTGCTTCGTTTGTAAGCAAATCATTTCGGATTACCACACATGCATATACACATATGTGCATGTATATTTAAGACGGGTTCTCACTACATGAGTTACATTTTACGGGCATTTTCTTCCGTATCCCATAAGAGAAATAACTAATATCAAAATACTGTAAAATTATGAAGCGATCTCGTCGGTTCGTATCTGTAAGACAACTGCTTGTTCAACAACATTTCGTTCTAGAGGTCCGTCAAACAACTACCTGGTCATCAACACGCCGTTCTGGAGGTCCATAAGACAACTGCCGGGTCATCAACACGCCGTCCTGGCGATACGCAAGACAATTGCTTGGTCAACAACACGTCGTCCTGGAGGTCTGTAAATGATGTGCTAGGTTAACTACACGCCGTCCTGGAGGTCCGTAGGATAACTGCTTGGTCAACAACACGCCGTTCGTGCGATCCGTTAGACGACAACTTCTGGGTCATCAACATCAATTCTGGCTGCCTATTAGCGGCTGAACTATATGTGAGTCCAATTTAATGAATATTATTCAAATACTTTGAAATTTTCTGACGACTCAGATATTCGTTGTAAGTTAAAACTTATTTGATTATGATGTAAACATAATCATACGTGATGGTATTTGTTTAATAGTGCCGAAATTCACGCATAGGAAATGTATGATATATTTATTTATGTATATTTTTAGAAAACATCGGGAACAATAAGTGAACGCATAGAGAACATGTCATAGATATTTTGTATGTTTTTGTATTTAGACCTTATTTGCTATCTCAGTATTTCAACTGTTAAACATAGTAAGCTTATACATAACATCTTTGTTTCATTTTCTGTTTATTTGGAACGTCAAAATTGTATTTCCTTCATTCATACACAGTCATATCCTTTTCCGACTTAGTGGATCCATGTCTGGACTGTGATTGTGTTTACATACAATGACTTCCCCTTAATTTTCGCCTCCGTATAGCTCTAGCATAGTTTTCGCGATGTAGTCCCGCTGAAGTTTTACACTCATTACACAGTTATTGATTCCATTTTGCATATTTTAACTTAATTGTTTCCCATAACAGTCCCGTAATGTATAGGTTTCTTTTCAGAAATGATTTAACAAAGCTTAAGTAATGCCGGAAATGGCTTAAAAACATCAATAGCGACTGAAATGTAATATGTTTTGTTGTTGAGTTATTTGTTGGCTCTGTCTGGTCCTACGAATACTAAATCGTATCTGCGGTAAAGTTCCGCATGATTCACTGTATAATTTGCAATCTCCCGTTCTACCTGTGTGCTTTCACGAACAGACATGTCGAAGCTGGCATGGAGCCATAGTCGGTCGATAAAGAAATATATCATCACCTGGTCCAAGGTTATTGATATAAAATGCATTAGGCCGGGCTGAGTGTGGTGTACCATGAACCTACAGGTGTGCTATTGAAAACGCAATCATTTCACAGGATACACCAGTGTATATACCAAGATGCAGTTAGTTCAAAATGTCCACAAAGTTGATTTATAAAAAAGTATTCTTCACACACTGGGTATTAAATTACTAAATGTTCTTGTGAATTAAAAACAATGATAAAAGAGGCAATAGTCAGGGAACACGTTGTAACATATAACACGTATATACAAATATTATTGTCTTGAGTTATTGAATAATATAATATTCCCAGAACCACTTAATGTCATACATTTTCTCCGGGGTATTATTTTAAAACAGTTTTCGTCATGTATTACACCGTGTCAATTTCAAGTATGTAAATGCGGCATGATAACAATGACACGACATAGATCATTGGGGTGATACAGGGAATCGCTGAAAAGAAGCTCGGGTGTGAATCGATAACGTCTTGGCCATTTCTATCGTATTCAAAATGCAAAAGGAGTTTAATTAGAAGTTGGTATATGACAAATGTGTACAACATATGACTGTTAAATTCTTTTGGAACAGGTTTCGCATATTGATGGGAGGTTGATTGCTGCAGAAGAAAGACATTACACCGAGAACCACTCACATGGATGTAGAAGAGGAAGAACAACGGAACCACAAAGTTAATTTGCAACGATGAAAATATACACCGTATCAAAACGTCATCTCACGTTTTTATGTACTGTAATACTATTCCTTGGACTGATACTATCGTTGGGTGTTTTGTTACCTGACAACTTCGTTTCCTATTCAAAATTTAGTTATTCAATAGAGATGGATTTCATTTCAAAGTACGCGGAATTGAAACAGCACGGAAGACAACCTTCACTTAAAATGATTAATCTCCATCCATTTCAGTATATTTACCTCAAGAATGGATGCGAGTTCAAGGCAAAGGGGACAACCACCCTTTTAATTTTAGTGAAATCTGCAGTGTACAATTTTCATTCACGTGATGCTATTCGAGCAACATGGGGTAACGTGACAGGAAAGAACGTTGAAATCGTGTATTTGCTCGCATATCGCGCAGCTCTTCAACCGGAAGTTGATAGAGAAATGATGTCTCACGGCGACATTATACAGGAGTCTTTTCTTGACGCCTATATGAACAACTCTTATAAGACTATAATGGGATTTACCTGGGCTGTTCAATACTGCAGTGAAGCCAGTCACATTGTGTTTGTAGATGATGATCATTACCTGAGTATTCGAAACGTCCTTAACTTCATACACACGCTGGGTGTAGTCAACAATAAGCAATTGATGGTTGGGCATTTACATGCAAATAGTGGCCCGTATAGATCAATATTTTCAAAGTGGTATGTATCACCTGAGCAATATCCGTTTGATACATGGCCGCCCTATTTGGCAGGAGCTGTTTATATGGTGTCTCGGGAGGTAGCCAAGAAAATGGTGTATGCTTTTCCGTATGTAAAATATATAGGGATTGACGACGCGTACATAGGTATAGTAGCTCGTAAGATAGGTATAGAACCACAACATGAGGATCGGTTTATGAGTCCTCCTTATTTACTATACACTGATCCCACACAGATGGTGTACGGGGAATTCAAAAACATAGAAGACTTTAAAACAGTTCAGCGTATTCTGAAAAATTATGATGCAGTTAAAATGTGTGCTTTTATTTGGAAGTGTCGATATCTCTTTTTACTTTGAAAAATAAAAATGAAAATACAATATGTGATGAATGCAAGTAATACCTTTTACTAGGAAACTATTGTCATCAACGAAACATATTTTAGGTATTTACCGGCAGAAATGCTTTCTGTGATAGATTACTCAATGTACAAATTATTAAGATTATGTACACACCAAGGTTTGCCTTTGTCTTAACAGTGGTTATTGTTTAAATTGTTAAGGTTTTAATTTGACACTATTGTAGGAAAAAAATGTGGGTTATAGTCCAAAATTGTGAAATATTATAGATGATTTATGAACAAACTCTCCCTTTGACTGTAATTCTCTACTATGTTTCGGAACATCATTTAAGTCAGGGATTATTTTTTTATCGATTTTTACATTTAGTACCACTTATATTGTGCAGTTGTTTTCATTGACTTTATTTTTTTCTTAATGTGCTACCTAAGATCATATTTCTAGTGACACGTTTTTGTTGCATTGAAGCAATTATAGCTTTACAGAAAATGTAATACTGACAACAATAATGATAATGTTATAAATCACCCATTTCTTATGTTGTACTCGTTTAAATTACTACTATGGATGCTATTACCATTTGATATGCTCTTTTAATGGACACGCAATGTAAATGTTAAGATATCTGTTACACTGTAAATCCAATTGCAATTGGAATCTCCCAAGAATAAGTTAAAGAATTATCAACTTGTAATCAATAGGAAATAAAACCATAAGTATCTATATTTCTTCATCTCAGTGATTTCCAATTACACTCAACGATATCCATGACACATGTGAAGAAATATATCTATTTACTCGAAATGAGTCTAAAACATCATCATAATTGTTTGCTTGCAACGAGACATGTCATTATTATTATTTTTTAAATACGAGCTAATCATGCGTCGTTATTGAAACCTATCTGATAACTAATAGTAAAAGAAAACGCCCATACCTCATTTGGACTTGATTTTAAAACTTGACATTTTTCCTAATAAACAGAGGTTTGTAGTTTACTCAACTAGTTGCTCAACCGAGCAATTGCCCGATTTCCTTACTTACAAAGTACAATGTTCCATTAAATCAGGGTAATCGTCATATTGCAACAATGTCAAGAAGAAAGTTTACTTAAAAATAGATTGTTTGATCAATGTTGAGCATTCTTTTTCAAAATGTTTTATCTATCAGAACCTTTGACCTTTCCACCTTATTCAAAACCACTCATCATCTTCGTTCACGTATTCCCGTATGAGAGTGTTTTCTAAAAGAGAGGATAAACAGCGATGCATGTATATAAGTACTGAGTACATGGTTGTAAACCATTCCTGGAAGTATTTTGTTAAAAACGCATTTAAGGCCGACGTGGAAGATTCTGAAAATAAAATCATGACAATGATAAAAAATATTCCAAATTATTTGTTGAATTCGATGGAATAATTTTATAGCAGACCGTTAACATTTGTATTGGTAAATCGCTCTTCTCCTGGCCGACATTATTTTCAGATTGAATACAAGAATGGATATATTTAAAAGGGCAATTTATAGAATCCTTTCAGTTCCTTCAAATTAATTTTCATATTATTGCTATTGAAAAGTGGTGGAGGAGGGGGGGGGGGGGCATGTTCATTCAATACCGCGCGTATGTTAAGTGCTTAGTTTAAGCCACGATCTGAAGCTGATCGATGTTGACTTACATCCCAATAATACGTATGAAAACCTTTTTTTATTATCCCGGTGCAAACATTAAATGGAGTCGTGTATAATCCATGTGACCTTCTTTGAAGGAAAGGCTACAGAGGATCAGATCTTTAATGGCACGGCTGGGTGCGTAGCTCTAGCGTACCTCGTAAAATACCTCTTAAATTTATAATCAATAATGAACGCAGGTGTACATTGTAGATATATCATAACAACGTATCAGGACTCCTTCCAAAAACTTAGTCTATGCATGGTAAAACAACATATGTTAGATAAACATTAAAATATTTCCATCACGAAACCTGAATATTCAAGCTCATTTAAATGTACATATATAACTTCATTTTATTCTTGATAAATAATTTCATTAATTTGGCAAGAAGTTTTCAAAATAGTATGTTCTACATGAATAGATATTTTACTCACATACGTTGTGTAATTATATGATATCACTTAAATATCATGTTAATTATGTATGCCTTTCGGGTATTTGAATTTTGGAATTTACGGAAGATCTGGAATGGCATTCAGAAAAAAACATATTCTACTTACACAAATCTGCAATGGCGATAATAGATTGTTTTTGCATTCCCGTTGAAAACAATGTTATATTCACATTTGTTGTGAAACAAAATCAATAATGCAAGATCTGGTTAATTTTTTAGGTACATTCATAACCCAATCGTCACTTTCAATAATTGATAAACTATGTATGTTCGTCCCTTTATCAAAAAGTCCATGTATAGTGCATTACATTATCTAGAAAACCAAATAACTTAAACCATCAGGTGGTATTTCGAAAAAGTGTAATGCACCATTGATTGCTATTCAAAAAACGATATATATTAATGTGTTTTACCTCAGTCTGCTCTACTTGAAATGTCTGCTTTGGTTATTTCATTACTAGCATAATCTTGTTTATTACATTTTTGTCATTGAAATAAACGAAATCTATTAACTTGATCAAACTGATATCTTTCACAATGTGACAAATATCAAAAGGGATATTTTCACAGTTTAAAAATATCACTTGTTGGTAATGACCAATTATAACGGTATCTTTACGTTACATTTTTCATTGTTTATGCTTTAAAAAATGTAATAAATAGAAAATAGAATGGTGTCTTCAGTAATAACAGCAGCAGCACTCGTGAAAAGTATCAAAATATTAGACACCTGTGAAATATATTTGTTATTACTGAAGACACCATTAAATATCCTCTATTTACTGCATCAGTGCCAACGGCGTATGTATTGGTCGTGCATGAACGAGTAACTTGCAAATGAAAATTTCACTGAAAGCGACATTCGTTAAGTTCATGTAGTGTAGTCAAGTATTAAAAACTATTTGTTTAACATTTTAATCAAATTAATACACTATAATGAAAAAATGTTAATCGAACATCGTCAACACCGGACATGTTTTTCCGTCAAGATCAATGTAAAGGCGAGAGTCTCAGGTAAATGTACAACCTACAGTGTACGTGTGCTTTGATGCAAAACATTGTTCATAACAGAAGGTCAAGGCCTTAATTGAAAACTGCCTGTGATTTGATATTGTAAACTGGGGGGAACACATAGGCTGATTTATGTGAATTTTAGAATAATAGTGTTGTTTTTTTTATTTTAACTATATATATCGGTAATAAAACACGGATCCTGTAAAGGTACAGAATTGATTGTATTGTGTTAAATTACGCAGTACTGGTATTGAATAAAGTGATAATATACCAAATAACAGGTTTTTATTTCTTTTAAAATTTAACACTGTTTAGGATATTATTTATTCCCAGAGTTCAGAGATATCGAAAATAGGCTCGTTTAGAACAATCAAAAGTAATTTGCATCAAATTGTACTTATAATTAGTTTTTTTATTAAATCGTTGAAAGAATTAGTGTTTTCATAAGAATATGGCGTATTTGATATAAAAATAATAGTAGGAATGTTTTTACATGATGATGGAAGCATTATATAACTTTTTAATTAAATAAGCAATTAAGTAGCATATTAGTAGGAACACCTTTTTGTCAATGAGGTTTCATTTACATCAAACGAATCATAAGACTAACCGTATTTTTCATTTCAAATTCTTAAAACTAATCTTTATTGTATTCATAGTATTTTTAATTGTAAGACAACAACTAGGTGTTTTCCCTATCTTCCCCTCCCTTTCTTTATATACATATTGAATCGTTCTTAAAAAGTAGCCGAATATAGAAATGAAATATAGAAACCACACTTTTGAAATGAAATCCTATTACCAAATCGATACTATAGTCAGCAGGTCCTGTACCCATACCTTAACCATATGTTACAATATTTTTACAACTTACCATGCGTAAGCTAGATACATATTCTAACATATGGTTCACGAAATCAAGTACCGATTATAAATAGTGGGGAAAGACTTTGATCGATTGAGTCTCATGGAATATTATTCCAACATTCATATAAAGTAAAGCTCAATAATAATATATTAATAAAATATTCATAGTATTATTATATTTATTTTATTGAAAAACTGAGAAATATTGATAAAAAAGCCTTTAGTTATCATTTTCATAAAGTTGAAAAATCACATGTGCTACATATAAGACATCAAAAGTAGTCTCCCTTCATACTTATGTGAAGAAACTAAAAGTTGTCGGATGTAAGCAGTAGGTATCTGGGACTAAACGAATAAGAAATATATACATACATAGAAGGTTTCAAACATATCACATTTTGTCAATGAAACAACCGTTTATAGATTTTTTAAATATTTAGATTTTTAGTATTTTTTCGAAGCTTTTCTTTTACACTTTTGTCATATTCTACCCTAGTTTTATCAATTTTGAGTTCAAATTAAGGTGTTGTTGACACTTCCTAGTTCTCTTGTTGCATCTTATATCGTGACCTACGTTAATTAACGTTTCTGGCCTTGACATTTTGTATGGAATTTAAAAATGAATATTGACCTGACTTAGATAATGCAGATTATACTCTATGTTATCTGTTTCTTTACTAATATCAAGCTTCACAGTTCTTCGATATACGTCACTTTACAAAAACATATCAAAATTTATGTTTATGTGCTAATACTTTATAAGATAAAATATATTAAAAAATATTTTCAGAATCAGGTGATTCTTTTGCTTTTGAGATTGCATATGCGGGGGTGGGGGTGGGGGTGGTGGTTCTAAAGTGTTTTTGTTTAATATCTTAACACATACAATCTTCAAAAGTTGAGTATTACTAACATGTTGGTCACGCTCCCTGTGCAATATCTCGTTGTAATATTTATATTTTTCAGATGTAATGGGGCAGTAATGGAGTTTGT